TGGAACTCCAGGCATGATCCCTTCTAGTAATGAAAATGATTTGAATGGTATGGGGCAAAGTTATATTTAGTTTGTATTTGGAGAAAGAATAACAGCCAGGCACAGGGGAAGGCAGCTGCATTCCTGTCACTTTTTCCCAAGTCATATCCATGGATGTCAAACCCCACCCTTCCCCCCCAGTCCAGATATTAAGAAATGAATCAGTCAAACCATAGGGTTGAGGACAAGGGGAGTGAATGATACCAGCCCCTGTGGGGTTTGTGTTGAGGGTGGGTGTAATTTATTGCACCAGCTCCTTCTGTTTGCCTGGGCTGTGAAGTCAGCCACACCCTGCAGCCTGGTGTGGCTTAAAGAGTTTTTCTCAGCAGCACCCAGTAGCCATAGAGAGCTGCCTCTGCAGAATGGAGAGCTGAAAGAAACAAGGAATGGTGCTTGTTTTCTCTCCCAACTATAGTAGCATGCAAAAACCTGCATCAGCAGTCTTGGTGGAATACCCACCTGGGGCCTTTCCTTTGAGCTCTTCTCCCACATCCCATGGGAAAAAGGACTGTGTGAAGGTCTCTCTCGCTCCAGGAGCATCAGAGGCTGCAGATTCTCTGCACTTACAAAAGCCGGTCTATTTCAAGAAGCACTGCCCAGTGGCTAAGAAATGAGGGAGGTATGGAGCAGGAATTCAGGATTTCCAACCAGAAACAGCAGGCACTGCTCTCTCCTGCTGTGTTTGAAAGGGCCCAGTGTTGTGCCTTTACCCATGAGTCCTGGCACATGGCAATTGGATCACAGGGGATGGCTAAGTGTAAGGATAGAGGGATTGGTCTAGAAGAATAGTGTATATTGGCATTAAAAGGTCTGTTTTGGTAGATGTCTACATTAAATATTTTAATAATATGTCAACAAAATAATTTCAAGTTTTGAAACATAAAGCTGGGGTCTAGAAAGGCTGAAACTGTGACCCTGGCTGCTTGGGGAGTGATTGCATCAGCTTTTTAGGTCAGCATTATAGCATGAGGCAGAAACCAGCAGCATCAAGGGATGGGGAGTTGGCAGTACCTAGGGCTCAGTCTTTAAGTTTGTTGGCAGCTGCACGTGAAGCAGCCTGTGGATATCTTCAGATCAGTGCCATGGGGGAGCTGGCAATTATCAGCAGCACTCCAGGATATTATGGGATGATTCTTCGAGTTGGGGAGCTTTCTTCAGTACCAGTGGTTCATGTGAGATACTGAGATGCGTGGCTTCTTTTTAGTCTATCCTTTTACTCACTTCATTTCAATGAAGATGAAACTGCTGTAGAGAAGCCCTAGAAATCACAGAGGGCCTGAGCAGCTCTGGGCAGCTTAATGCATAGATTTGGAGAGGGAATATGTTTCTGTCTGGATGGTGTGGGATTTCTGTGGTATGTCATGCTGTGCTAGGGAATGTGGCAAAAACCTTTCTGCAAAACATTTGTCCCCTTCCACACTGTCTTCCCTCAGAACACTGCCGGTGAGATGTGCCAACGTGTATCTGGTCTTGAAAAGCATTTATCTGTCTCTATTGCAGTCCCAAGGCAGGGCTGCTCAGCTATATAGTGAAATAAGACTGAGAGGATGCTGGTATGTTAGAAAGAGAGACAGAGATCAGTGATGGACAGACTCGTCTAGTATTAGATCTGGAGGTTGGCAGCCCTGCCTGTGGCTGGGGGGTTGGAGCCAGACGATCCTTGAGGTCCCTTCCAATGCAAGCTGTTCTATAATAAAATCAGCATTTGATTTTGCTGTGAGCATCCATGGGAGGACAGGATCTCGCTGGCTTGTCAGGGCCTCTGAAGCCTCTGGTATATGTGAAGGCACTGATTGCAGAGGGAGAATAGTGCTTCTGTGGGAAGTTATTAATACTAAGACGATGGGTAATTAAATAGGAATATTTACAGCACCAATAAGTAGAAGCAAGATTTTAGCATCCATGCCTGCATCCGTATGATATTGAGGAGTGCGTGCAGCTGTATCCAGAAAAATTTGTAGCAAGAAAAAAGCCACCAGAGGGGCTGATGGAGGGGTAAAGAGTTGCAAAGGACCCCACCGGTGTTTTGCTTTTCAGGCCAAAAGGCTCTGAGAAATACACCCTTTACTAAATGTCACAAAGGTCTGTGAGTAGATCCTGTGACTGAGAGCGATCCAACAGTTCCTCAGAACGAAAGGTCAATCAAAGGAAAATGGCATTTAGGAGGACCAAGATTTTCGCTGACCCAACCATGTGACAGATCCAGAGGCAACCCCAGTGCCGTCAGGAGAGCTGCTTGTGCAGCCCGCCTCAACGAGGCACATGACGTGACTGGGAAACTATCTGATTCCTCCAGGTCTCAAAATTCATCAGGAGTCAACCTGAATGTCGGAAGGAAAGGGGTTTTGAAGGAGCTTCAGGGAGGAGGGCGCTCGCTATCCACTGTCCCTGCTTGCCCCGCACCAAACATTTTCCCCCAGCACTAATTTTAGGTCTGCTTTTGCAATCTGAATATGCACAGAGTAGTTTGCTGGCTTGCAAGTAGACTGTAATGAAGCTACTCTTGAAGTTCGACTTGGCGGGGCTTTAAAACACAAAGCACCTTTCCAAAGGGCAACCCAGAATTTCAGCAAAGCTTTGAAATTGTTTGGACAATTCTACTTCCTTACACTGAGTAATTTAGAAGAATCTGGGGCTGGATCTCATCTGGTGTGAGTGAATTCCACTTCTTTAAGCCAATAGGCACAATTCCTCCTGATGGGTGGAGCTCTTCTTAAAAGATTCAGCAACGTGACTTGTGTCAGATCAACATTCAAAGGATCTCAGTATTATTTTCCCATCCACTGAGCTGCTTGGAGTTTCCTTACACTCAAAAGTGTCAACAGTGTGACTTGAGTGCCCAGGAAGTTCTGATCAGGCAGGATTTCTCACGGTGTTTTGCCGTTTCCCTTGGTGTACCATTACTTCCAATATCCTGTTCCACGTGTGTCTGCAGGAGATGTGCTATGATGGTGGGATCATTGTCTGGGAGTGAGTTTTTCAGAATAAATGCTCTCAATATATGCCTGCTTTAGGACTTCAACAGATCTCCAGAATGCATGTGTCTAAACTAAGCCCCCCTGTTTTAACCAGGCTCATCATGAAGCTAATTAATGAGTTTCACACTAATTTCTGACTCTTTACTCAGCTTGTGCAGCACTTCTGTTCAACAGCAAAGCTGTGAAATTCATGGGAGCAACTATGATAGCAGCTCTGTAGCCATTCCTGAACCGGGCTGTATGTGCTGCGTTAGTCATACTGGAGAAAATTCTGGCAGACGCAAAAATAATAGGAATTAGTCATGAGGAAGTGCAAATGTGAACTCTGTAGCTTGTCCCAAGTGAGTCCTATCCTGCAAAACACTAGAAACAGAAAAAAAACACGAAGGAGCAGCTTCAAATCCCACAAACATCTTGTGGGTTTGGGTGCAACTCAGCATCAGCAATCCTTAGCAAAACATTTTGTCCTTATGCAAGAACAGGGCACTTATTATCACACCCATTAATACACTATTCTGGGAAGAGCATTGCTATTGCAGTTTGAGCGGGGAGCTTGTGCAATGGGCTGATTAATGAAAAGACAGATGAGGGAAAAAGAGGCTGCTTCAATTTTTCAGAGCCTGGGGAAGAAATTCCAGGTTGAATTCAGCTATGGGACCATTCCTACCGTTGGATTTTTTATCACTTCTTTTTCTACATATTGGCCTGGTCCAGATGATCCTGTTATCACATGGCAAACAGCACGTTTGATACTCTGTAGCGTATCAGGGGCTCTGTTTTGCATGAAATTATCACCCTTTACAAAGAACAAACATTTGACAGTTGGGAGAATCCAGCAGGGTTGCAAAGGCAATTTATGAATATGTCCTCTTTTGGACTGCTAGCAACGCAGCAGTGTCAGGCTATGCTGTGATTTGGTGAAGCTGCGTCCAAGTGTGGAGCCCCCAGTACAATAAAGACAGGGAGCTGTTGGAGAGGGTCCGGAGGAGGGCCATTAGGATGATCAGAGGACTGGAGCACCTCCCCAATGAGGACAGGCTGAGGGAGCTGGGCTTGTTCAGCCTGGACAATAGAAGGCTGCGGGGTGACCTGATTGCAGCCTTTCAGTACCTAAAGGGAGCCTGCAAAGGGGAGGGGAATCAACTCTTTGAAAGGGTTGATACGTGTAGGACGAGGGAAAATGGTTTTAAGTTGAGGGAGCGGAGATTTAGGTCGGACATCAGAGGGAAATTCTTTACCCGGAGAGTGGTTGTGGATGCCCCGTCCTTGGAGGTGTTCAAGGCCAGGTTGGATGGGGCCCTGGGCAGCCCGGTTCAGCATTAAACGTGGAGGTTGGTAGCCCTGCATGTGGCAGGGGGTTGGAGATTCATGATCCTTGAGGTCCCTTCCAACCCTGGCCATTCTGTGATTCTGTGAAGCGTTATCCAGTGAATGCTTTATGTCCAACAACTGCAGGCGTATGTGTCTCAGATAAAGCCCATGTGGTGACTATTAAAGGGAATTACTGTACATATCACATGAAAGGGCTATAACTTTTTGAGGGGGGCAGTGTTTTGTTTTAAGTACTGGTGCTGTTACTAATTTTGTCTTCAGGATTGGTGGTAAGTTTAAAACAACTACAGTTGCTTTACCAAATATAGCTGAACAGTTTGTGTAGAGAGCTCCTTCTTGCTATAGGAAGGCTGCTTTGGAAAAGGAAGAGAGGATTGCACTTTCCTGATGTGTTAGAGCTATGGATTAGTGCAAGCTGCTGCTGATGGTGAAGAAGATGTAGCTTCAGGTTTTCCACAAACCCGGATGTCCCTTGATGTCCCTCTCTATAATCACCTCCACTTTTAGCGCTAAAACATTTTTGGTGAGCCCTTATTGCTGTCTCTCCATGTGGCAGTCAGTGTAGTGCCTTGATTGATGGCTGTCCTTTAAATCAGTGCTTTATCAGTGGCAAAAGCAGTAACAACTCTATCTCCCTCTGCTCTTTCTTAGGCCCTCCGAGGATTGCCGATAAAGTGATCCACCGTCAGTCAGTGAGGCTGGGCAGGACCATCAAGCTCCTGTGCCCGGTGGAAGGTGATCCCCCACCCCTCACCATGTGGATGAAAGATGGACGCACCATCCACAGTGGCTGGACGAGGTTCCGGATCCTTCAGCAAGGGCTGAAAATCAAAGAGGTAGAGAGTGAAGATGCGGGAACCTACATTTGCAAAGCCACCAATGGTTTCGGCAGCACCAATGTGAACTACACCCTCATCGTGATAGGTGAGTAAAGCTACAGAAAGGCCAAGCCTGACTTTCTCTGCAGGGAGGAGAGGGCGAGCTGATTTCTGGGTAGCTGTCAGTGACTGAAGATTTGCTTAGCTAATCATTGACTGATCTCCACTCTTAACTGGACCCTTCCAGTGTTTGAGGACTGCCAGAGCTGGCTGTGTTGCTGCACATCTTCTGCAGCCGGCTGTAGGCAGATAAGATTACACAGTGCCAAAGGTTACAAATAAACAGAAATGATGCAATAGTCACTAGGGTCTAGATCACAATGAATTCCACACAGGAAAGACTGTGCGATAAGGAGAGGTCACACTGATCTTTATGTTTGCTGCTGGAACGGGGTAGTTCTCAAAACAAACATTAAGGTACCTATAAAAAAAATGTACAGCTGGAAGATCTATGTGCTGAGCTTTTGCAAAGTGTTATCTTTAGGAGTAATAATATTTACATTGAAACAAGGTTTAGAGATAGTGTATGACTCGGTGATGCTCGCTCGCTGAGAAATTCACTTGATGGTCGCAGGATTCAAAAAACTTTGGATAACAACTTGGTGATCTTGGATTCTCTGGTTGTGCTTTTGACTGGCCCCGACGGGCTTGCTTGATTTGGTGATGGGATTTTGGGGTGAGGATTCCTGAAAGTCCATAGAAAAACTTCTCTGGATAATCAGAGATTCCTCTGGCGTGGCTGCCACAGAAATGTGCTCAATACCCTTTGTCTCTGGAGGGAAAATGCTGTGAAGAGGCTGGATTTGGATTACACTTGACATGGTGGAGGATACTGACGGAGCAAAGGGAAATGTTACAAAGAGAGGAAATTAGGCATCTTGCTCATGCTATTGCCAGGTCAGCACTCCCAGTATTTGGTCCACAGAGTTCTCTTTTTCCTTGGAAAGTAAAAGTGAAGATGGTGCTTTGGGCTCCATCCTGCTGGTTGCACTTGACCTGTGTTTTTTTTTTTTTTTTTTTTTTAATTTTTTTTCCCAATTTATTCTTTCTGTGCTTAGTAGGAGGACTGCTCTGGACTCAGAGCATGCAGCAAACACTTGACACTGCTTGGTAGAGGATTATCACCCGATAACAGGGTGATTCTTGGTGAACGCACTTTGCAAAGCCAATATGGGAAAGAAAACAGAACATATGTGTCTTATCAGGAAAGAGGTACTTAGGTGAGGGAACACTTGCTGTACAACTCCTGTAGCATCAGTGATATAAAACTGTAAAAGCCAGCTTATAGCTTACATGCCGTTTGTAGCTTGGTTTTCGTCATACACATTCCTTTCCTTGTTCATCCTTTCTTCATTGCTACTCTGAGCTGAAAGAACGAAGTGAAAATAGTCTATAAAGATTAATGCCTCTGCAGACTCTTGGACATGACTTCCAGACTGTTTAGTGTGGAGAAGACAGCATTATAGGAAACTGCTTCAGTCATGCTTATGCTGTTCACAGAGGTTGCCAAAATCTTTAATTCTGTCATCCATTGCCTTCTATAGCATTCAGGGTCCAAGCTGGCTGATGTTACTCCAAGGCAAAGTGGTTTTTCAGCATCTGTAAGACAAAGGCGGCCCTTGGTAGCATGACTGAAAGAAATGAGAGGGAAAAATGAGGAGGCACAGGCTAAAAGCTGACTTGTATTCAAGAACGACTGAGACAAAAATTGCGTTTCAGTTGGTCAGGGAAATTGGATTATCAAATTAAATTGTATCAAGAACAATGATGTTCATTATATTTGGCACTGAAAAGCCTTGAGCACAAACACCAGTTATTTGGGGCCTCATCACACAGCTATGTAAGGAAACAGCAAGCTCCCATCGGCCTCTGTGGGTGTGAGATTGAACGCTATGCAAACAAATATTGATAACCAAGTGCCAAGAAAAGGGTAACTTTAAACTAAATGTGTGGCAGGCATATGGACTGAGTTATTGTTCATCTCTTTGCGTCCTTATTTTAATGCTGGCTAAAGACAGTGATTCTTAGTCTTTGTACTTTTCTACCTTGTCTCACAGTGTTGCTCAGGCCACTTTTGATGGATTATTGCTGTCTCTCATCTCCAGTGATACAGAAGTGTTCTTGTAATGTTCAAACCAATTTCTTTTCATTACAAGAGTTTCCCTGAAAACAAATGTTCCCCAGAGACTTTCTTTCCAAGGTCTTCAAGTAAACACAAGGTATCAGTGACTTATTCTTTCAAAAGTTCCAAACATTTAATGCTTTAGCCAGATGCTCGTGTTCATCGTGGTGAAAATGCTTTTGGTTGAGAAAGGTCCTTTGTTGATTTTTGAGAAGGAGGCAGTGTTTTAAAACCAACCACATGTTGGTTTTGAGGATGAAGATCAAATTGATGGAGCTGTTTTGTTTGTGTTCCGGAGAACACAAACTTCATTAGGCACAGTGGCCTTTTGAACCATATGGGCTCTCATTCTCCAGCTTCTTCAAAGGAGAAAAGTGCTCCTATAAACAGCTTTACTGCTGACACCTAATGCGCATAAACCATGCAGGTGTCAGGCATGGGCAAGGTGGTTAAGACATTAAATCTAGAATAGAATCAAAGTATTCATTAAACACTGTGTATTAAAAAAAAAAATAAATCTATTTTGGCATGAAAACATTCTTGGAATTTCAGTAGTGATATCTGAAATCCATACAGTAGCTTATTGAAGGATTTTGTAGTTATGTTATACAGTTTTAACTGACTTTTTCCAAACCACTGGCAAGTGAAGAACTGTAACTGCTATGTTATATATGTATAAAGTGCAGAAGGTTAACCTGAGGGCTTACTTGAGATCCTACAGAGAGTAAAAACTAAAATTCAGCTGCACCGTACCTCTCTGCATTCAGTGCTGTATAACTCTTACTAATATTAACTTCAATTAATCCCTATTTTCATTAGAGTACAACAGAGAGCCAACAAAAGTTTGTGACACTGTACAGAGGAAACAGATCAGTGGGTCCACTGACATCAGTGGGTGGCAGAGGTGAGCTCCCATGTTTATTTGTCAAGCTGGTCTCTGTGAAATGTAATAATGTGGGTTTAGGACTCTTCTAATGACACTTGTGGCTCTCGTGCCAGGTCTTGCTTGCAACCAGCTGGCTCAGTGCACAAGTACAGCAAACTTGGGGCAGCCTCTGCATGTCTTGTAGACATACCTACACATTGCCTGACTGGAGAACTTCCAGTCTGCAAATGTGGATGGGAGAGATTACTGGGTTTTTACAGATGGTAGCTAAGGCAAAGAGAGATCAAGTGATTATTTCAAGACCATAGAAAATATGAACTGTGGCTCAGAGTTGAGTCTAAATTTCTTAAATCTCACCCTACTCCTCCTTCACATTGCTTGGTAAAGTCTTCTCTTCCTAATTATGTTAAAAGGGAGCCTTCTCTTACTCTGGCGTTTTGATCTCAGACAAGGATTTTGCCAACCCACATGGTAGCAATTGGTTTCTGCCCTGCTTTTTTCTACATTCTCTCAGACTACAGGACCCAGATCCCAAAGATCCAAGGAATCCTGGTCTAATACAACCCTGCGTGAAATGTAAGCCAGTAAAAGCAGATAACCAATATAAGTCAAAACTACAATTTCCTCTTCTAGCCAGCCTTACTAGTTTTTGTGGCTTACCACAAGATTTGGGATGCCAATTATACTGCAGACAGATTTACTAATGTTGGAAGAGGAACTCATCTTTAATCAGCATTAAATCTGCGTTGCAGTTATTAAGTACAATGGTTTCTTATTATGGGAATTATCTGTTGCTCATCAAAAGAAATGTGCTGTGCTTCCCCAAAACCTTACTTGTACAATGGTGTCTATGAAAATTTTATCTTTGAATGTCCACTACAGGTTTAATTTTTTTTTCTTTCCCAGCTGAATCAAGTCAGAAAAGATGGTTTGCAATCTATAGGTGTGAAACTTAGCTGTATTTTGTTTTTAATTTATTGGGTGAAACCTGTGGTTTCTTTACTGCAGAATGAAACTTCCTTGCCAGTAATCTATGAAAGGGAGCCTAAGGCCAAAGAGCAAAAAACAAAATATTGAATAACTGCTTATTATAATTTGAAAACTGTCCACCTAATGTACTGAATGAGGCACATTCTGCAGGAAGAAGTTCCAAGTAATAGTTTAACTGAAGCCTGCGTCAAGTTGTAGCCAGAGTGGAGAAATTCTGAGGTTGCATACAGCCATCAATTTCTTTGCTACTTATCCTTTGATTTTACGATCAGTTGTGGATTCTCTGAGATTTTAGTGGGTCACGTGGAAAATAAAGAAAATCAGGAAAATAATATTCCTTCTTACAGTATTGCATCGATAGCCATAGTCTTCTGCACACACTTCAGACACTGGTGCAAAGGGCTTCACAATCTGGAAGGGCACTGGATAGCATCCACTACCATCCCCTTCTACAATAATAAACAGGATCACTTGTTCCAGAGGTCTGCTCATTCTCTGAAGGGAAATTCATTGATAAACACCTGTAGGAAACACTATTAGTAAATATTTATGATGTGGCATAATGACCTCTTTCACTAATGCACAGCACAAAAGGCTTTTCACTTGCAGAAATGTTCTGGGTGAAACCCTGCAAGGTGTGCCAGCATTGCAACACACAGGACTATTGCTACAGGTGCTACCAGTAAATACTTCATCTTGCATCAACTGCTCAACCAAGTGATGAAAGATCAGACTTTCTGTATTTATTTTTGTGTCTGCATGCATGCTTCTTATTACCTTCTGCAGCAAGAAAAATAGAAGACACTAGCATGTGTAGGTTTCTTGCTTCCCTTGATGTTTGTCAATTACATAAGACATAATGCTTCAGTGCATCTCAGCACACTCTCAAAAGATCAATATTTAAATCCAAGGAACAGCTTCTCCAGTGTTTTTCTTTCTTACTCCGTACCTTCGCCTATCAGATTTGCTTTTTCTCTTCTCTGGGTTGATTTGGGGGAAGGTTTGTGGGAAGAATATATCACTGTCAAGTTCACACTCCCCTTCCTGC